TTTGGATGGAGCTGAAACTCCGTGTTGTTCAGCAACAGCCCCAAAACCTGACAGATCTAGAGGAGATCTGTGTGGAGGAGTGGGTCAAAATCCCTGTTGTAGCGTGTGCAAACCTGGTCAAGAACTACAGGAAATGTTTGACCTCTGTAATTGCAAACAAAGGCTTCTGTACCAAATATTAACACTGATTTTCTCAGGTGTTCAAATACTTATGTTCAGCAGTGCAAGACAAATAAATTCTTTAAAAATCATACAATGTGATTTCCTGATTTGTTTTTTAAATTCTGTCTCTCGGAGTGGGAATGCACCTACAATGTGAATTTCAGACCCCTCCATGATTTCTAAGTGGGAGAACTTTCAAAATCACAGGGTGTTCAAATACTTCTGTTCCTCACTGTACGTGTACTTATCCTAGGGTGTGAAGAGAGCCACATAAAAGAACTAAAAGACTGTCCACTCATTTGAAACATGCCCGGGGTACCCAAACCAGAGAGTTTCTAAGAAAATTTAAAAAAAAAATGTGAGTATCTTCATTTTAATGAGGTTGACTCTGCCTACCAAGGCTAAGGGTAAATGTTGTCATGCTTCCAGCCCACATTTCACCATAGGGAGCGGAGGTAATAAATTTAGTTGCAGGTAATCATCAACCCTAGGAGAGATTTGAACCCCAAGATAAGTAAATTTGGATACCCAAAGGAGTGGGATGTCTAAGTCAGCATGTACCTGGGCCCAAGTATCGATTGGTATAATGCCAGACTTCACTCAATTGACCCTGAGGCCCAAAACTTGGCACAATCGGCTAGCATTTGAAAGACAGTATGCAAAGATGAGAATGGGTCCTGTAGAAAATGTAGCAGATCATCAGCGTATAGAGCTGTGCACTCACGAATACCTCCCACCTCAAGAGCGTTCCCTGGATCCGGAGACGTCTGCAGAGCTGTAGCTATTGGCTCAATCATAGGCGCAAAGAGGAAAAGAGATAGGGGGCACCCCTGGCGTGTACCTCTGCCCACTGGGAAAATAGAGGAAACCGAAGAGACACAACTAGACTACTGTACAACAGAATAATCCATGTTAAAAACCATGGCACCAATCCAATGTGGCGTAATACAGTGGCCATATATGTCCAATCTACTGAGTTGAAGGCCTTTTCCATATCTAGGGAAAGTACTACCCTTGACCCCCCAGTAGTATGCTCCACCTGCAGGGGTGTGAACAGCCTTCTCAAATTGGTGTCAGTGGATTTTTCAGGTATGAATCCTGTTTGATCAGCATCCACCAAAATGGTAAGTACCTTTGATAGCCTAGTGGCCAAAGTTTTAGTAAGGATTTTCAAAACCTGGTTCAGGAGGGCAATGGGCCAATAGGTGGAGCACTCCAAGGAATCCTTGCCCAGTTTTGGCAATAATACTACATGGACCTCTAGTAACGAGAAGAGTAGTACTCGATTGTCCAAACAATAACAATATAGGGATCTAAGCCTAGGAATAAGGGTTTCCATGTGCAGTCTGTACCATTCAATAGAGAACCCATCTGGCCAACTTAGTTTGTGGAAAAACTCCTAATGGATAGTTCTATGTCAGGGCCTGGACTTGAACCTGGGACCTCTACTGTATCTGGCTGTAACTCTTCTCACTGAGCTATCTGGGATGCTGGACAACACACTGCCTGATCTATTGGACAATCCTGCCTTGTGCCTTGTTTTCTGCTGAACCTTGAACTCCTTGCTCCTCCCATGAACTTCCTGATTTAAGCCATGTCTCTGCACTTCCAATTTGCCAGATTATTGTGCCTTCTCCAGCCAGTATCTCACTCTTGTCTCTCCTGCTGCCATCCATACCTTTGCTACCAACCTTTGGCTTGTTTCTTGACTACGATTCTGTCTCATCCCAACCTGCTACCACTTGTTACCGACCCTTGGCTTGTTTACTGACTATGCTTCTACTAGATCCCTACCTTCCATATCTGTTACTGGATCCTGGCTTGCTCACTTCCTGGTGGGGCGATCCCGAGAACTACGACCTGGTACTAACACGCAGCAAAACCCATCTCCACCATCAGGAGCTCTGGTGAATACTGGTTAGTGCTTAGACCCCGCACCTCAGGTGAGCCTGCGTCATCTTCCAGGGTGACTTGCTTGTATACCTATCCTGTTGGTTGGTCTGCTGTTATAGCTACTGGTCTCTGAGCCTGACCTCTGACCGTGACATTCTATTTCCTCTCCTGTAATGTCTACTTCCAGGCTGTCTCTATCCGCTACCAATAAAGAGGGTATGGGGAGTGCTCTAAGCATCTGCTCTAGATCTCCCTCATTGTAGGAAGTAAGTGGGGCACATAAGGCTTCATAATAACTTACAAATGTACTCAGAATATCAGAAGGAGAGATAACTAGGATCCTTTCTGTTCTGCAACTAGTAGAGCCAACAATGTCCACTTTGACAACAATGTCAAACAAAGACTCAGCCCTCTTAATTAAAAGTCTGTGTCAGCTCAGTGAAATGTATAGCCAGTTTATGGCAGGCTTCTAAGAGTTCCACATAAGTATTTTCTGCTGGAGCAGAGGCATGAGCAGCCTCACAGGCTTGCTCCTCCTCTTGAAAGCTCTGCAACATAGCATTGAGGTAATTACGAGCACTCTTGATGGCAGAGACATACTGGCCCCTCATAGATGCCTTAAAAGCAAACAGCTGAAAAGGACATGGATGTTAAGTTGTCCTCCCAATACCTATCAAAAGCAGGAGTCACCTGAGCAGACACAGACTCCACTTCTAACCAGCCCAGGCTCAAGCACCATGGACCTCCTCTACCTTTGGATGGGAAGCCAAGAGTAATGGATAAAAGGGTGTGATCAGATAGGCCCCCTGATAAATAATTGGCTTGATGGATAAGTTGTAATAGGGAAGTGTTGGCAAATGCCAAATCAATTTACAATGAAGACCTGTGAACCTGTGATCTTAGAAAGATGAGAGTAACTGTGTGCAACTGGATTCTTCCAGAGGCAGTCGTCGCCCACGTTGGCAGGTCTAGCGAGGGAGCTCTAGTAGGGTTAGAAGAATCCAGTGTCCAAAACAGCTTGAAGTGAAATAAGAAGAGGGTGGTGCATGAAAGGAGCCAATTTACACATTAAATCATATAACAATTGTACCTGAAATGGAGGAGGCATATACACATTGAGCAGGACCATTATGGTGGTGAACAGGTCCCCAACCAAAATTAAATAGCATCCCCCTGGATCAGAGATAATTTGATGGATGGTACAGGCTACAGTTTTACCTATCAATATAGACACCCACCTTGCATAAGTCGAATAGGTGGCATGAAACGCCTTCTGGATCCACGGGCGGCGTAAGGCCAAAATGCGATTACCATCCAGATGGGTTTCTTGGAGGAACACAATATGGGGTTTTACAGACTTCAAGTCTTGGAACATCAAAGCCTGATGAAATTTATTGTTGAGGTCTCGTATACTCCAAGACAATGACTTAAGCATAGATACTGTCATAACCTATACCAAAGCAAGATGTATAATACAGCAGTATGAGGCACTGTGTGTAATGGGATATATGGTAGTCCTGAGTTTCTGGAGACACAGTGACACAGTAAAGGGGAAGAGTGAGCGTGAAATGCTAAGAAAGTGGTGTAGAGAGTAAAGTGCACAGAGAAAGTTGTTGTGAACATACAGTGTGCTTCCCCAATGACCAGGAAGTAACACAGCTTGACACTTCATCCAGGAGGTGTAATGTGATATAACTTTCTACTCTGTAAAGTAGCATATGTTTGTTTTTTGTAGTATGAGAAGGCTAGAATTGACTTTCGTATACCTCAACCTCACATCACTTTTCCAATAAAATCTCTACAACCACACTGGTCTCTACAAAGGGGCACAGGAACTTGAGCCAGATATAAGTGGTTTCACATTTGGTAATAGTGGGTAAATTAGGGTTTTTGTGATTTACCAATGTGTGCTAATTAATTCACATATTCCATCAAATGAAGTGTAAATTGCACTAACCCATAGTACCAAAGTCTCAAACTGACATATCAATGCAAAATAAGTTCTTATACTGAGGAAGTATGTAGCCTTCCATTACTGACCTTTCTTTCTTAGAATGCTTAGTTATCTTCCTGAATCTGTGGCTTCAATCCTTTCCAAGTGGTTTACCTGGAGAACATGCATACAGATCAGAAGCTCTGATTTCACTCTGACTTTACTTTCTGTATTTATAGGCATTGCCATGTGCCTGATAGAAGTCTGAGATGATGAGATTAGCCTCTCTTGTATCTCCAGCCCAAGCCCCACCGAGAGTGAAGCAGATGATGCCAAGGGACAGGAGGAATATGAGTGCCAGTAGATGTTGATAGTAGAACTTGTCTCTGGAGATGCAGGTCTGATAGAACTGGCAGGACATCAGGTCAGGAATGGAAGGTCTGCAGGATGGACCAGACAGAGTTATGGAGGAACCTTAATCCATCAGTCCAGTTAGCACTAGCATTCTAATCAGCACTGATACTGGAACAAGGATTCTTAAATAGGTCCTCTGGATCCAACATTGATTGTGGACGTACTCATGCACATGGACGCATGTGTTCCTTTGCACATGCATGCGCTTGATCACAGTTCACCATGCACATGCCTCTGAGCCAGCCTGCTCACAGGAATTCCCTAACATGCGTAAATGAGCACTGCTGCTGCCACAGGATTGGTTTGCATCCACATTCCCTACTTCTGAAACTGGTCTGGGCCAGTGACTATGAAAAGCAGAGTCAGCCAGTCAGCTAGCATTTTTAAAAGCAATCAGGAATCCCCCAATTCAGTGTTCCTTTGTATAATCTAGTTTAGTAATGTATTTCTTTTTTTACTAATACAAATGTATGGAAGAGGAGCTATCCAAGTGCTGAACCTCTGGTTCCTTGGTTATTTCTCATTTACAAAGCACGTTTTAAATAAAATGCAATTTAAGTGGGCAATATATAGAAAAGTATAACCGTATATGAAACACATTAAAGTGATGCTAAACCCAGGACCCTGCATTCACTATATCTGGTCTCCCACAGTACACACAACATGGAAATGCAATTATTTTAGTAAATATAACCTGCTAAATACCTTTTCTTATCAGTACTTAGAGCAGTCTTGTGACTTCAGCAGAGCACTGGTTAAAGCTTGTAGGAGGAGTTTCCTTTCTGCTCTAGGAGGATGTGAAACCTCTGACCTCTGTCTGGACAGTGCTGATTGGCTCTGTGCTGATCACATGCACCCTCCCAAGTCTGTATCAGGTGGACATTTCAACAAGAGGAGGGGCAGAGAAGAAAGGATCAAACAGCCTTTTTACACAATGCAGAGGATTAACCCCTTAGATTCCACAGTGAGTATAACAAGCATGCTTTACTGCATATACAGACTGATTTTACTGTTGTGGGTTTAGTAACACTTTAAGTATATATTATTTAAATGCTTTCTTCCTTGTGTGCTCTTACTCTTCTGTTACCCAGTCGGATAAGGCACATTTCTAATAGAATAAAAACATGTTTTCATTTTTAAATTACTGTTTTTTCACTTTTTTAGATTTATTGCCTTACATAACTACTGCTGCAAATTTTTCTTACATTCTATTCTTCAGTTCTATTTATTAAAGTAGGTACATGCTTTCATTAGCCCATGATTTAAAAAAATATAGTTCATAAATACAATCAATTCTATGTTCCTTAAGCTATTCTGATATTTTTATCTTACAGGTTATTGTATTACTTTCTATTGAAAGCAATGTCTATTGGTATTTTTCTGTGTGGCCTTGTCAGGAAGTAAATTCACATTCTTATTATACAGTGCAATATAAAAAGCACAGCTAATTTAGAACAGATCTGTAGCAATGCAGAACAAATAGCAGCACTTGTATATGACTAGCACGTGGAATTCAGTAGCTCTTTGGCTTACTTGGGTTATCAGGTCTTTGCTGACTCATAAGTACTCTATAACATTTTCTATTAGTTTTGACCTATGGCACAGCTCTTAGCTTTCTGCTCTGAGAGCTAGAACTGGCACTAGACCTATATTCCTAAAGAAAAGAGTGCATTATTATTACAACAATATCTTTTTGCAGCTATGTCCTTTGTGATATTCTCAGTAATTTACTCATTTGTAAAAGACATCTGCAGCCCAAGGAAAAATAAATGGCTTTCTGTCTATCGATATGACAGCTAAAGTTTCTATTAAAAAATGAGGCTTAATTAGAGAAAAGCCTTGCTATAATATTCTGATTGTTGAGGCTGATGGTTTTCTTAGCAGCTGTGCCATTAGTTAATGCAATGAAGAACTTTCATATATAAACATAAGAAACAGGTATTTATGTAAATGTGAGTGACTTTATTTTATTGGATTTTATTGAAAGAAAAACATGTAGCACAGACTGTACATTATTGTTTAAAATGCATAACTAGATAGGGATAGAATTTACAAATGTGAGACTATTGTGCCTCAACAATAGGTAAGATCAAAGCAGATGCTATATGTTATCATGGTCGTAGACTATGCTGGCATGTATTGCATCCTGCTTTTCCTCCTGTTGGTGTTCAGGTGGCTTTAGTGATAATAGTAGGTAGACAAAAGGATAGCTAGAGAAGAAAAAAGGGAAAAAGAAAAAGAAGAACATTGAAATAATCCAGGAGGCCCAAGTAGCTTACAAAGATTATGTACTGTCATTATAATGAGCCACTAGTTGTGCTATTCTTATTACGTCATTAAGAATGTCAACCTGTTTAGCTATGGAATGAACTATTAGAGATTTTCAATGTTTTGAAATAATTTGTCTGACTGCTATAATAAGCAAAGTTGGCAGTGTAACTATCATAAAGTGATAGTGAAAATTTTGTCCTATAGTAATTTTACTGTTTGGCAGCCCCACCACATATGAATGTAAGTAGCTGATTCCTTGAGGCAGCATCAATAGCTGTCAGAATTCAAAGGGAAGACCATAGGAAGTTGGAATGGACAGTAATATCATCTAGCGAGGATTTTATAATTTTGATCTTGAGTCTTACTGGAGATGAGGACCTTAAATTTCTACAAAACTACTTAAAGTTCTATTTAGATCGTGCAACATGGAAAAGCTTCAGTCAACGTGTGTCATTAGTAATGCCACAGAAATACAGTGAGTATAGTCAAAGACAGTATACAGCTGTCAAACTTAAAATTATCCAACTGTTTTAAGTTAACTTATCTCCAGAATGTCCATTGGAAGAGACTACTAGAGGCCACCATCATAATTCAAGTGATTATTGACACGTTTGAAGAAACGATTACGAGCTATTGCCAGATTGTAAGAGAGTAATAGAGACCACCAATATGTCACAAAAAAGTACTAGAGATAACCAGAATGCTCCAAGGAACTACTAACTCAACCTCAACCTCCACCTGTCTCAACCTCCATCACCCAAAATATGAATGTAAACATATCAAATAATGAACATGTACATTTAGGGATGGTTGGCAATATGTATAATAGAAGGTACTTGACCACAAAAAATAGCCTAGAAAAGTTGGGATTCTTACTCACTGGAAGTAATAGGTAGCCTTATCCTTTGACTTATTGGTCTTTCTTTCAACTTGTGTGAGAATGGTAGAAATGCACAAACGGCTGCTCCCAATTCCACAGCATTGGAGATTACTCCCCAGTGGTACTTCTAGTGCTGGTCACCCAGGGCAGCTCTCCTAAATTCCCCCAACCCCTTTATCACCAGCCACTGCAGCAGCCAGCATCTCTCCCTGCCAACTGCATGTCAGAATGATAGACTTCAGAGCCACAACAGGAGAAAGAGCCTAGGTAGAAAGGACATCCACTTACATTCTGGTGTCTGAAGTCTGTAAGTTCAGGAAGGGATGAGGAATTGTACTTGAGGGACACAATAACCTGGGGCTAGATGTTAACAAAGATTTGTGCCTGGGGGGAAATTATTTATGCTGGAAGTGGGGAGTTCAGAAAGAGGGGAGGGGATTTGTACTGGCAGGTGAGAAGAATTTAGCAATTTTTTGTGTGTGGGAGAGTTTTGGTTCTGTGCCACACATCCCTTACTCCTGCCTCTTTTCTGACTCTTTCCATTTTCTACTCCTGACCCTTAGATTGTGTGCAATAAATACACCTGACCCCCTGCTATCTACACCTGGTACATTACACACATTTTATCACTGCATTTTGTGCATTATGTACCCCTGACCTCTGCACTATTTGTGTATTGTACTCGTAATCTCAGCACTGACCCCTGTATTATGTGGGTTACGCACTCCTGACCCCTGCACTCTGTGCTTTATATACTCCTAACCCCTAAACCCTAAGTGTTATGTTCTCTTGATCCTTGCACTCTGTGCATTATGTACTCCTGCACCTACAATCAGCACATTGTTTTAAGTATTTTGTAATCAAACGGTAAAAATCACAATTACATCCTTTTTAGCTACAGTTTATAAAAGTACAATATGTGTAAAATTCCCAGGGGGTTAAATACACAAATTATCACATATATGCATGTAAATATTATGCATATATAATAAAGATATTTAACAGGTAGTAGTATAATTCGGTCACATATTCTTTACATAAAACCCCAGGACCATCTCCTGAATCCAGCTGTAAGCTGCCAGTTTTTACACTTCTTGATATTATAAGTTTAGCTTTTCCTCTCCTGCCTTCTTCCTTCTCAATGTTTCTATTGGCCAATCCCTATGATGGGTGACCTTATTTGGCCAATAGACTGTGAAGAAGGGAGGGCAGGCCAGCCTTTAACACCACTAGGAAACAGCATCTTAGGTTTTGGGGCACTAGCAGCACTGGAAGGTAACAAAAAGATATGTGTACCACTAGGTTCCTTCATTGTATTGTTGTATCCTTTTTGATAAAGAGAGGCTTCATTCTGGAAGAACAACATTTATGATAAGCAGTACAAGGATAGGAGGATGGGGGGAGGCCAGAGTTTCACTAGTGAATTAAATTAGTTATTTGAAATGGCTCATTGGACTTCAGATCACGCTTTGTGGCGGTCACTTTGGTGGTGGTCACTTTGAAGACAGACTATATTTGCATATTAAATATATTAAACATTTTTCTCCCAAACACTGCATCAAAAAGAAAATCTAGGAATAAACTCCAGCCTCACATTTTTTTGATTGTGTCTGCTTACCATCATCCAGTACTTACTCCCACTGTACTTTTGTTTCAGTAGAGCTGTATCACCTTCCAAAGTTCCTATTTACCCCTATGGTGTTGTGTTACTTCCAGTAAGGATGATGCCCATTGACATACAGACATTTTCTCTTTTATGAAACTGTCTGTGACACTCATGATGCTTTCACAGTCCAGGGTAGACTCCCCTGACGTGCTGTGAGTCTTAGCAATGATGGGGGATTTCTCACTCTTATCACTGCTCAAACTGCTGCCCATAATACTGGTCACAAACCCACCCAGATAGCATTTAACAATATCCAGGAATTAACCCCTGGGTTTGTGGTGAAAGATAGCACTGTAATCTTTTTCACCAGCCCAACATGAGGAGAACCTGAAGGGGAAATTAAAGTAGAGCTATAGGCAAAACTTTTTTGCCCATTTTGTATATAATAAGGGAGGGTTAAAACCCCTGTCAGTTTATTTTTTGCCATCTGCATCCCATTGGGGAGAATTCTCTTCACTTCCTGTCCCATAGCCAAACAAGAAGTGAGAGAAAATCCCTGCAAATAAGAGAATCCTAGGGGATTCCCAGGTCACCAGAACTAGCGTCCTCATTGGAAGATTTCCCCTCTATTACTGTTCTGGAGACACCCCAAAGTTTGGGATTTTCTTTTACTTTTCAATGATACTGGCAAACAGCACAGACAGAGAGTCTGAATCTCCCCAATGGGGACACAGACAACAATAACAATTGCCAGGAGTTCTAATCCCTCTCTACTCTATCCAAAACTAAGAAAAAAGTTTTGTCTTTAGTTGTATTTTAATTATGTCACAGCAAAATAAAACAGCAAAGTAATTAAAAATTCCTATTACCACACTTGCTGGGTGACCATTTAAGTGTGTATTTAGTGGTATACAAACACTTTTGTTTTAAAGGAAACCTGTAGTAAAAGAAACAGATGTTACCGATGCTGAGCTCCTTCTGAAAATGCTAATTGCCTGCCTTAATCTGGCTTTAATACTTTTGAATCACTGAC